ACAGGCCTGCCTTCCCTCCAGGTGTCTACTTTGCCCTGTGTCTGTCGCTGATGGTGGTCAGCCTGCTGGAGACCATCCTCATCACCTACCTGCTGCACCTGGCCACCACCCAGCCCCCACCCATGCCTCACTGGCTCCATTCCCTGCTTCTGCGCTGCACCAGCCCAAGGAAGTGCTGCCCTGCTGCGCCCCAGAAGGGAAACACCAGCCTGGGCCTCAGCCCCGCCCACCTGCCTGGTGAGGGGACTCAGCACTGCCCACACCTCTCTTCCAGAATCTCCACCTCTCTGCTCCCTCTTCATTTCCTGTCCCCCACAACTGTCCAGCTGACCTTGACAGCCTACAGTTGAGTCTCTGTCTCTCTGCAGGTGTGAAGGAGCCCGTGGAGTCGGTGGGGAAGGTGCCAGGTCTGAAAGAGGCAGAGTTAAATGGATGCCCTGGGTCAACGAGGGCCCAGCAGGAAGACGAGGCCCAGAAGCAGCACTTGGTCAGCCTGTGGGTGCAATTCAGCTGCGTGATGGACACCCTGCTCTTCCGCCTCTATCTGCTCTTCATGGCCACCTCCATCACCACCGTCATTGTCCTCTGGAACACCTAAACATGATGTATGTCTGCTTCTGCACATCCAGCCCAAAGCTGCTTCTTGCCTCCAGGGGCCAGCCTTTACCCTTGAATATCTACTGTCATGGCCTCAAAGATTACCAAGTTTCCTGCTACATTCCAAGCATCTCAGTCCAGCCCCGCTGATCAGTCTCAAGCCAATTTGAGTTATTTTCCTCTGGTTCCTGCATTCTGTTGGCTTCTCTTAGCCCTCCCGTGCAGTTCTAGGCCCCCCTTTTTTCTTCTGCAAGCAGTCCTACCTCCTTTGTCTGCTAACTTGTCCCAATAAATCATTTGCAGAGATCTCTGGCTCTCTTGTCATGTTGTGGGGTAGAAACTTAACAATCCAAGACTGATAGTTTCAAAATATCACCTGTGCGTCCTTCTGCTTGTGATAAAGCTTTGATGTCACCTTCAAGTCCAATGTGACAACTGTCCTGCCTGAGAAGTTTTAATTCTCTTAAGTATTTTTAAGACATTTATTACTAATATATCCTCTTATTTATCTTTTCCATTATCTTGTACTAATTTCATCTTAATACTTTCCTAATTTATTTTATTTCATTTTATTCTTTTTCTTATTTTATAAGTTGCATACTCAAAATATTCTCAGGCTTCCTATAACTTCTACTCTGACACAGTTTGAGCTGCAACCTACAGGTTTTAGAATGAAGTAGTCTCCTCTTTATTACTTCCTAGACAGTTCATAATTTCAGTCTTTATGTCCCCTTTGTTATCTTTTCATTTTTGATTTCCATTTTCTTGGATTATCATCAGAGAGCATGGTCTTTATTTGGTTTTTTGTTTTGGTTTGGTTTGTTTTGGTTTGTTTGTTCTTAACGGAGATACTGGGGATTGAACCCAGGACCTCGTGCATGCTAAGCATGCACTCTACCACTGAGCTATACCCACACCTCCACCAAGCATGGTATCTTTAAATCAAAAACTTTTTGAATTTACAAAGTTTCTCTCTGGCTGTTTACATGATTGATTCTGTAACTGTTCCAGAACATTAAAAAGTATATATTCTCTATTTATATGTACATCAATAAATAGAGCTTATTGATTAGATTATTCAAATTCTCCGTACCATAGCTTATTTTTGTCTACTCGATCTGTTAAAGCTGAAAGTATTTTAATCAGGTTCTCTGAGTAGCTGCAGTTTTTCTTTTATATATTTGACTGCTACCTTATATGATGCATAAAAGTGTATGGTTATTATCCTTATATAATGTCACTATTCTGTTCAGTGTGTTTTGAACTTGATTTCCATTTGTATGATAATAATGTTGCCACTCGCTTTGGCTTGGTATATTTTTGCGTATTTATTTTATTAATTCTTGATTAATTCTGGAAAAGTATCACACATACAAGGTACAAATATTAAAAGGTACAATACGGTATAGAGTAAAACATGTCTCCCTTCTATCTTTGTTTCCAGCCAGCTAGCTCCTCATTTTCTTGTGCATCTTTCAGGGTACTTATTTTCCATCTTTCCTTGCCACTTTGTTTTAGGTGTATTTTACATAAACAACATAAAGCTGAATTTTATTTAATTCAATATGTCCTTTTTTAATAGTTAATTGATTTATATTTCTTTTTTAATTAAAAAAATGTTTTTGGTGGAGGAGGTAATTAGGTTTGTTTTATTTATTCTTAGAAGAGGTACTGGGGATTGAACCCAGGATCTCGTGCATGCCAAGCATGAGCTATACCACTTGAGCTATACCCTCCCCACAATATGCTCCTTTTGATAAATGAATTCAGCTTTCTTTACATTTAGAAAAACAATACTCAGTTTTATTCCTTCCATACATTTTATGTTCACCATTTATATTACTTGGTGTTGTTTTCTCTATTTTCTGTTTCCTTACTTCTGCTTGCTTGGTCTAACTTTTGTTCATCTTTTTTTTTCCTCCTATAAATTTGAAATCCTGTAATGCTTTTTAATTATGTTCATGATCATCTTCCTAACAGTTATATTTAGACCAATATATCTGATTAACATATCAAAACTAAATTATTATGCTGATCCCCCACCAAGATGTTTTATTTGCCCATTCCTCCCCTGACTCCAGCAAAGTAAAAATAAAACATTTTTAAATTTACATCCTTATTCTTCCTCTGCTTGTATCTCAACTTTTAGATTTTGCAAATACAGTTTCAAGTTTTTAGTACCAGGCTATTATTTTTTTTCTTATGGTATGACTCTATTTTCAAGGACCTTGGCCTTTTATTAATTTTCCACTTATACTATGGATTTAACTCTATATGTTGTAAGATTCATAGTTCCTCTCAGTTTTTTCTACTCTTTGTCCTCTTCTATCTAGAAAGCTTTGTTATGTTTTAATTGTCTCCTGATCAGTACACTTCTCGAGTATTTTCCTGAAGCAGTGCATCTGGTATATGCTCTGACTCTTTGTGTGGCTGAAATGTCTTTGTTTTGGCGGATAAGCTTTCTTGGCTAGGAACAGACGTCTAGAATCAGTCCTTCTCCTCCTCCTCAGTTGTCTATACCAAGCTTCCAATGTCTTAGATGAGAAATCCAGGGCTACTCTGATACTTTCCCTCTTGAAAGGACCACCTGGATGCTCATAAGAATTTGTATTTATCCCTGAAATTCAGACATTTCACAAGGATATATCTAAATGTGTGTTTCCATTAATCCTGCCTACGTTTCAGTGACCTTTTTCAATATGATTATTCATATCTTTCTTCTGCTTGCAGGATTTTTTTTTCTAGAATTTAAGTAACATTCTCTCCCACCTATTCTTTTTCTGTTCTGGAATTTCTGCTATGCACAAGTTAAGTCTCATGGATCTGTCCTCCAAACTCTTTTTCATTCATGCCTTCATTTCTTTACACAGTTTGGCTTTGTGTCATAACCAATCTTTCAGACAATGAATTCAGTTCTCAATAGTAATATTTTCTACTCTCAGTTCATCTCCTGAGTGCTTTAATTAAAAAAAATTTTTTTTACTTTCATAAAGTCTTTTAAATGTTCTGATCACATGCCCTAAACATTATCTTCTCTTCTTTTTCATCTTTTCTACTTCAGTTGGAGCTTCTGTCCTGAATATCCATCTTGGTCACTGAGATGGTTAATTGTATGTATCAGTTTGTTTAGTCTGTGGTGCCCAGATGTCTGGTCAAACACTAGTCTAGATGTGCTGTGAAGGTATTTTTTTAGATGTGATTAATATTTACAATCAGTAGACTCTGAAGAAAGTAAATTACCCTCCATGTGGGTGGGCCTCATTCAATCAGCTGAAGGAGGAGCAAAGACTGATGTTTCTGAACAAGAAATTCTGTTTCAAGAGTGCAACATTTTGTCAATTACACCTCAGTACAGCAGAATTTAAAAAAAAAAAGAGTACAACATATAAACCCTGACTGAGTTTCCAGCCTTCTGGCCTGCCCTACAGATTTTGAGTTCAAGACTACAACATCAACTCTTACCTGAAGTATATGGAGGGCACTTCTCAATTCCCAGGTCAGTCTAGGAGCAAGTAGCAATCCCCTTCCATCTGCAGGGACTGCAAATAATTAAACTCATCAGTGTACTTACTATACAGACACACACACACACACGCACACACGCACGTATGCACGCACGAACCAGGAGAGTCTTCCAACGACCACAGCAGCAAGCAATCAGAGGCAGCTCTTCCCCAAGTTCACTGACTTCTACCTCTGGGACCCCCTTAGAGAACTATGAAATTCTGATCTTTATAATCTACCAAAGAGAGGCAAGCTTTCTCCTTCCTACTGGTCCATAGCACTCAGTTGAGACCCAGGGAGAAGAAACAAAGGCACAGATCTGACCATCTCCCTTCTTGCCACTGTCTCACCTATTATTTTGCCCACACACCCCTAGGATCTCAGGGGTTAGGTTTTTCCCTATGCCATATCATCATCCTTTCTGACTCCAGTTTCTTGACTAAATGGCAGAGATACCCTCTCCAGCCAATGAGATAAACTCCTGATCTGACCAACTAGGCCTAGTCCTTGACATGCTAAGAGAGATATAAAGATATATGGAAAGTCCTTTCAGTCTCAAACTACCTATTATCTTGCTACATAACCACATTTTGAATATGAGCCATTAAATGCAGCCTCATTCAAAATTTGTTGTTTTTTCACAAACTGCAAATATATATATAGAGAAGGAATCTATAAAAATAAAAGATTTAAGGAGCATAACTTCAATGTAATCATGATAAAATATCAAACAAACCTAAACTGATTTTAATAACTTGAAAAAACTTCCCATAGACCCAGAAAGCTTTGTTGGTGAATTCTGTCAAATATATAAAGAAACATTAATATCAATTCTACACAATCTCTTCCAGAAAAAAAGGGAATATTTCACAACTTACTCTATGAGGCCAGTGTTATTACCCAGATACTAAAGACAGACAAAGACATTATAAAAAAGTAAACTACAAATCAATATCCCTTATGAACATAGAAGCAAAAATCCTCAGCAAAATACTAACAAACTGAATCCAGCAACATATAAAGAGGACTATACACCATAAACAAGTGGAATTTATCCCAAAAATACAAAGTTGATTTAACATCAGAAAATCCATGAATACAACACTGTATTAATAGAACAAAGGGCAAAGTCCACATGATCATTTCAATAGGTGCAGACAAGGCATTCAACAAAAATTCAATACCTTCCACTATAAAAACCCTTGACAAACTAATACTAGAAAGGAACTTCTTCAATCTGATAAAAGGCATCTATGAAAAACCTACAGCTTTCGTCACACTAAATGGCAAAACACTGAATCATTTCCCCGTAAAACTGGGAACAAGACAAAGATGTCCATTCTCTTCACTTCTATTCAACACTGGCCAGGGCAATTGGCAAGAAAAATAAATAAAAGGCATCCAGATTGGAAAGAAAGAAGTAAAACTATGTTTGCAGATGATAGACTCTTAAATAGAAAATCCCAAGTAATCCATTTAAAATCTATTAGAATAATAATGATTATTTCTTGAATATGTGTAAGCACATTTGACTGTCTTTTACGATTGGCTTACCACCTTCTATTGATTCTTATTTTGTGATTGGCTTTATTCCTTTGATAACGATGTAAGTTTAAAAAACTAAAGCTCTAAACTGTTCTTAGAAACAATGGTCAGTACATACATGTAAACTAAAAAAAAGTGTAGTATATTGTATATATGTATTTGTATGCAATATACTGTGTATGTACAGTCAAATTGTAACAATTCTACCTAATAAAACAGAAAAAAAGAAAAAATCTATTAGAATAAATGAGTTTAGCAATATTGTAAG